AACCCTGTAGTCAGACATAGAGTAATCTCACTCTCAAATCCTCAGGCTTAGAAAATGACTGGGTCTCAGATTCATAGACAGATATGAAAGGTATGACAGATTTGACTCCTGCCCTCCCAAAGAAACCTCTGTAAAGATAATGTTGTTAAATAGACTCTCTTGAGAAGTGAGGCGATGACTCAGTGGATAAGAGTGCACTATGAACAAGAGGGCCTGTGTTCAGACCTCTAACATTCAAGTAAAAGTAAGGCATTGCCAAGTGTGCCTGTGATCCTAGAATTGGGGGACAGAGATGGGAAGATGCCCAGGAGCTCACTGGCTAGCCAGCCAAGCAGAAAAAACTAAGCCTTGGGCTCAGTAAGAAGCTGCCCTAGTTTGTTTTCTATTGCTGTGATAAACACATGACCAAAAGCAACTTGGCAGGGGTAGGGGAATTGCATCCTACAGCTTACCATCTACCTTAAAGGGAAGTCAGGGCACGGATGAGTCAGGAACGTGGAGGCAGGAACTGATGCAGAGCCATAGAACACTGCTTTTTGGCTTGCTCCTCATCATGTGCTCACTTTGCTTTCTTACAGAACCTAGGACCATTTGCTCAGGAGTGGCACTACCCGTAGTGGGCTGGGACTTCCCATACAATTATTAATCGAGAAAATGTCCCATAGACTTGCCTAGAACAATCTGATAAAGGCAATCCTGTAACTGAGATTCCCTCTTGCTGGATGACTCTAGCTTGTATCAAGTTGACAAACAAACAAATACTCCACCTCTGACCACTGGTAACCAGTGATGCCATTTCTCAGCCTTTATCTGATCTCAGCTAAGATCAAATGTAAAAACTATGATCAAAAGTAATAGAGGAAAACAGCCAATGTCCTTTAGTCTCTATATGCTCGTGTGCATGCGTGCATATTTCACACACACAGACACACACAAACACACACACACACATGCACATGTTGCTCTTTAAAGGTCCTCAAAGCCTTCACTACATCTGTTTCAAGGATAGAAAAGCAAATGGTCATAGCATTGAAGATAGGTTTTTATAGCCATGTAATGAACATTATAGAGGAACTTGCATATAATGTATATAGTGGTGGTTGGCATCTGTATTCCATTAGGATGTATCAGACACATAATTATCACACGTCATTCACACGACCCCAGCAATTATGTACTGTCATCATCCCCATTACAGTTAGGGAAGTTGACACTGATATAAGGTAAGCATTGATGATTAACCAGGGTATTGATCCATGCAGTCTGAAGCCAGAGCTCAGATCAGTATCTACAGTGATAACATTTTCCTTCTTCCTGACAAAAACGATCTTGAAGAAGTTCTGATCATTAGTGAGGAAAGCAGATGAGCATCAGGAACAACATTCATAAGCAAGTCTGGCAGGGAACATAAACGGGGCAATTAAGGTGCCTAGAAAAATCCCAAAGGGACTTCAAAGCTGAAGTGGCACCAGAGCTGGCTGTTGAAAGAAGTGAGAATCACTGCAGCAGGCAGAGGCGAGGAAGAATGTGTCTCTGGTGATACAGAAGTATTCATGGGGTCCCTAAGAACCCGGAGCCTTCCATTTAATAAGCTCCAAGAGACACAGGTTGGACTCATCTTCTATTGTCTCTGTGGGGTTTGAAGTGTTTATCTGGCCAAGGCTGAGCTCTGCCAGGTAAGATTCTCTCACCAGGCAAGCTCGCACGGTACTTCCAAGCATTCTGCCTGAATGGCTTGAAACGGGAGACAAAGACTCCAGGGTAAAGTTCCAGGGGTCCTTGGCTCGAGCCTCCATCATTGATTTTAGCCACCTTCATATGACAAAGAGACACCCATTCTTTCTCCGTGCAGTCGTCTCCTTCACTGCATGTCTTCGTCAGTCCTATGGTCTTCTATAACTTGAGGTAGGCTAGAGAGGTTTCATGGTTCCCCAGGTTTGATGGCCTATGGAAATCTGCTTTGCTGTATTTGTGATTTCTTGGTTCTGATCTCTCTACCTTTCTGAATATTCAGCCTTTCTCTATGTCCCTTCTCTTCCCACCCCTACAAATCACTGTTCTTCACTCCTTGTTACTGGCCCCTTTGTGCTCTTATGGGCTCTTAGGAGACACTCCCATGGAACCAACCATTCCTTGCTTGACCCCTCCTAGTTTCTTCCCTGTGTTTTCTGGGCTTTTCTTGTCATCATCTGATGGTCCCAGGGGAACCTTAGACTCAATATGCACCTAATGTAAGGACTTCTCCTATCACATCCCTCTCCTTCAGCTCACTCTTCCCATTCAGGACCAGGGAACTCATTCCAGGACCTGCCCCTCACCCCACCTTCTACTGTTTCGTACCCTTCTCTCCCTCATGTTTCCCGAATCCACTTCCCTTCTCCAAGTCTCTACTACCTTTTTCTGTTCTTCGACTTTATTATTTAGGTAACAATTGCCTCCCCCTGCTCTCATTGATTCCAGACTTGTGCCTCTCCAAGGTAAAACTTCAGGTTCCTCTGCTCGAGAATCTCTGAGGGCCAATCATCACCAACACCCAACCCCTAGCTCAGTCTAGTAAGTAAGTGTGACCTGGTGTCACCTCTCTGTCTACATCTCAGCATTCATCTTGAGATGGTATGACAAAGTAGCAAGCAGCTTTCTGTGCTGGCTCACGAGTTTTAATTAGCCCATTTCCTCTACGTAGAGCATCTTTCTCACTTTTTAAAAACTTGGTCCCCACTAACTCATGTTTAAAGAAGCAGCCCAGATATTTGGCTCAGGAAAACTTCCCCAATGCATCGAGCAAGGAAGGGCTCCCATGGCATCCTGAGCCTATCGTCCCATAACAAAGGAATGAGATCACTGAGACTCTTCCTCTATTGTCAGACCCTTTTCAGCATCTTGGTCATCTTTGCCCCCATGTGTAATGCAACACCCAACAGAGAACAGACACTCAGTTATACTGTTCACCAGAACAGAACACCCTCCGATAAGTGATCCTAACTTCTCCACCCTTGGACTCCAAGCAGCACTTGACAAATGGTCCATAAGTGACTGCTGGTGCCATGGACAGCCATGATGGCAGGAGAATTGGATCACACAACTCCCCATGTACCACGGCATTCTTTCCCTGAAGCACACATATTCTGAGGTAGAGGTTGAGAGGATCAAACTCTAGTAAGGGAGCCATCTTCTGGGTCTGCAGAGGATGGAAGGCCCGCCCATGAACTCTGCCCTGGAACTACTACTGAGAGGAGCTATCATGAATAAAGGGGGTTATGGCAAAGAAAGGATTAGTGGGCACTGAGAGAGGGTACCAGCTTCCCCAAACGGGTTCTGTTAGTATCTAGAGGAAAGCTTTCTGATCTACTGTCCATTGAGATGATCAGGGTCCCTCTTCCCTGTCTGTCACCCTTGTGGCTTGTCCCTGGTTTTGCAACTGCAACATTCAGATGGTGAACAAGGCAACCAGGGTCAATAAGGGGAGCCTCTGTTGATCCTAATGGGAATCTAAACCTTAGAGGGTGGGGGACCCACACTTTGAACACCCACCTCTAGCTGATCCTCCAGCAAAACCAGTCAGGCTGGTTGCAGTGTATTATTAGAAAGCCCACGTGCCTGACCTTGGAACAACAGAGACACTTGTTCCCCATCCTGGGGATCTAAGCTTGGGTGACAGGGAGGAAGGCCATGGTGGGAGCAGGAGCAATCACCTCACAGCGTTTTCAGAGAGTGGGTTTAAAGCTGCCCCACCCCTTATATATATAGCTCCAGGGTCATGAAGAACCTTTACAAGGGGTAATGAAATTCAAGATGTCAACAAAGCACCTGGTATATGGCAGGAGAAGGGGTGCTTTCGAAATGCTAGCTCCTGACACAGGCACTTCTGAATGACATTCACACAGGCTGAAAAGTCTGGACAGAGATGATTGACCCCCTCAGGGGGTTGGCCCAGCACAGTGAGGGAGGGGTGCTGTCCAGAGCCCCCCCCCCATGCTGATCCTGCAGAGCCTCTGTCCCACCTTTTGCTGAGCATGAGGGAGGGAGGTGGAGTTCTGTTTCAAGGGAGGAATTTTCTAGACTGTGTGGGAAGTGATGTTCTTTACACTTTTCATTGTTAATCACTCTTCTTTCTACCACCTCACCCTCCTTTTCTTTTCTTAACTGGAAAAGACACATCAAATTGGAAGACTGATTCTTCAAACAACCCCTAGAACCATTGTGCATGTCTTCCTAAAAACTATAATGAGTTGGGACTGACATTGAAATCTCCACCTATTACATGGTATGGGGGGTAGGGTGGAGAAGAAACCACCACCACCACCACCACCACCACCAACAACAACAACAACAAAGCCCTTTCACTTTCCATCTCTTTTCACTCAGAAAGGTAAATGATGTCCTAATGGGGAAAGACACCCGGAATATAGCTGAGGAGCAGAAGGTGGCAGGTGGACTAGCTTCTTTTTATTGTATTTTACTTTAATTTTCCAGAGGTTATGCAGCAATAACCACCAGGGTCTCCTCTCCTGGCTCTCCTGGGAAAACGAGGGACCCCATCTTGCAGCCGGGGTCTGGCTGAAGTTGGGAGTTGGTGTGAGAATACAGAGACATTATGCCCTCAGGAGAGAATTGAAACACATCCGCCTGCTCACCTCCAGCCCCTGCTCGCCATGCAATCTCTCCAGCTCCATAAACCGGGTTTAGTGTGCCTGGACATCTCAGTTGAGTCCCCAGTGTGGCACACATAGTTTTCAGTCCACAGCTGCCTTAGGAGGGATGAACCTTTCATCATAAATCACCTACCAGAACCTTCCCTGAGTCTGGGCAGTTGCTCAGGGCTGTTAAAGTTGTTTATTAACCTCTTCCTGTCCCAATGCTGGACCGGATAAGGGGGCAAGTGTGACCCTGTGGCACAACCCATAAGTTCTTAGCACCTCCCAAAAACCCCATCCCTGTTCTCAATCTGGAGGGAGAGAGGGAGAGAAAGAGAGAGAGAGAGAGAGAGAGAGAGAGATTACCTCCAAAAGATGATCTGCCCCAAGGAAGCCATGGCGAGGGAGTTCCTTCCCACAGTCCCACTGTGTGTGGAACCAGATTCTGGTGAGTGGAGCTGCCTGCCTGCCGCTGCCCTCCTGGGTGTTGTGACTCACACTGGGTTCCTGAGTGCTGTCTTTAAATAGTGCAGGCTGGGAGGGGTGCATGTAGCTGTGGACTGCTCAGGTATGAGGAAACAGCTCCGTGAAGCTAAGGCCCAGGGTTGCCTTTCTAGGCCCTGACCCATGAAAGGGTGAGGAGAAGTTTCCCAGTCTCCTCCTCGGGGGGCTTGAATTCATACAGGTCGTTATCTTCCAATTGCACAAGGCACAAGGAAGAGCTAGCTAAGGGAGGGATTCCTGGAGGCTGCAGGGTTGGTGGAACTGCTGGTCCCTGCTGGGTCACTTCTGATAAAGTCTCTCTCTCATGCATTTGATCCCTGCTGGTGCTGACCTGAGACAGCAGACTGGGTTGTCCCTCACAGAGTCATTCTCATACATCTGATTCTTGTTGGGGCACCATAGTGAGGCCATGAGCTGAAGCGACAAGAACCCTGGTGTGCCACTGAATATCTCTGAAAAAGCTAGGTGAGCAAATCTCTTCTGGTTTCCTTTCAGTGAGAGGGTGAGGGGACCCTACCCCCATTTCTTATATCAGTTTTGAGATTCCAGAGATGTTGAGAATATATTGCACAGAAAATTGTTCAAGGTGAGTGGATTAGCATTCTGTTATTTCATTGCAAGGTAGTTTGTTCCTCTCTCTCTCTCAACCTCCCCCCATCTCCTGATTTTTAGATGGGTCACACACTGTAACCCTGGCTGGCTGACTTGAAACTCACTCTGTTTACTATGTAGCCCAGGCTACCTCAAACTTTTGTCAATCCTCCTGCCTCCCTTGGCCCCTGAGCACTGGGATCATAACCTAGGATGCTTTCAAAGGAATGAAGCTTGCTTCCTTCATACTACTTTGGAAGGAGAATGTCCTCGATGGCTAGGTAACTTTCCCGGGCCTTCTGTAGCCATTGCAGAATGGATCAGGGACTTTGGAAACCACCAGAGAGCAGAGCTGAGGAGAGAGGACTGAGTGGCAAGAGGAGAAGACTTCAGAAGAGAGGACTCAGCTTGACAGTCAAGCACAGGGAGGTTGATTTCCAGAACACCTTTCCTTTCCCTAAAGCAGTGGTTCTCAACCTTCCTAATGCTACGACCTTTTAATACAGTTCCTTATGTTGTGCTGACCCCAACCACACAATTATTTTCATTGCTACTTCATAACTGTAGTTTTGCTACTGTTGTGAATTCCAATGTAAATAGCTGATATGCAGGGTGTCTGACATGTAACCCCTAGAGGGGTTGTGACCGCAGGTTGAGAAACGGCTCTAAAGTATCTCTTAGGGAGTTAGCGGGTTTAGGAGAGACTCCACATGCTTTCCCTTCCCCTAAAATAAGCAAAGAGCAATGCCCTGGAACCTATGAAGTGTCTATGAAGATGGGTCCTTCCTGGGTTTGGGAAGCTAAAGTCACTGGAGGCCATAGTTTCCTTAGATCCATACTTTCGGAGCATGGGCACAGAGGTCCAACTACTCAGTGAGCCCTAAAAAGAGCAGCCCCACCTCCAATACTCCTCCAGCCACGACACGTCATCACTAAGGTCTGAGGAATGTCCTGGAAGAAAACAAAACAGCCCCGTAGACAGCCCTCTAGGGGAGAAGTTATCAGGGGGCAGGTACACAACACCCTGTAAGGAAGGTAAGGACGCTGGCTAAAGAAGCCCACAGGCCACGCAGTGGGCATTACCACCACAGGGATGTAACGCTGAAGAGCATTCTGCCATTTCTGGAGAAGCAAACAGACTTCACTCCAGTTCTGGCCGTGAAATGGAAACAGTAAACATATTTTTAAAAATGGCGAAGGGCATTGTGGGTGTGTGTGTGTGTGTACACAGAGAGAAAGACAGAAGCTCTGATCCCTCTCCAGCACTCGAGGAACACACACTGTTCTCTGTGGCTCTGCTAATGCCCCCACCCTGCTCAGTCATCCTCACTCTCCGTAAGTGATGGGCTTCTCTGTGATTGTGTCCTCTGACCACTTTTCACACAGCACCAGGTCCCTAGAGTGCCCTCAACCACTGCTCTGCTTCCGTTGCCCTGTGTCTGGACTCCTGAACATCGGTGTCCTCAGCTCACGTCCTTTGAGCTCTGGCTCCACAGAGCCAGCTGCTGACTCAGCATCTCCACTAGGCTCTCCCTCAGAGACTCCATAACTAGACAAGATCTGCATCTGCAGCCCCGCCCCTCTTCCTCGTTACAGATCTCAGAACACAGCAACTTTGCAGGCTGCGGTAGAGGCCAAGGGACGTGCCTCCTGCCCTCTGAAAGGTCAAGGGAATAAGCCTGCAAAGCGAGATTAAAAAGAAAAGATAAAAAATTGATTAACATCCAAAAGGAGAAAGACATGCACAGGGAGACTCACGGGGATGATTAGTCACTCACTTAACATTATTAAAAACCATCATGCCCTGTTTGCTATAAGGACAGTTCAGAGGCTCATAATGCTTATCAGAGGACTAGGAGATTTCTGAGTGGTCTCATTGGAATTTAAATGTGCAGAAGGGAAAGATATTATCTCCTCAGTATTACTGACCTCGATGGGGTTTGACGATAGGGTGGAGGGCAGCTCACTCTTAAAAGTGACAGGGAATTCCAGCATTTCCACCCAGCCTTGCGTGGGCGGAAGGAAGCTTTCCTTTAGGTCACACGCCTTTTGTGTCTCCACAGTCCATAGTTGGGTGGTATCGAAAGCATCCTCCCTCTTCCCTTGCTCCGCACATCCCTCCATCCAGCCATCTCCGGACCCTCCCTCCTTGATGACTTTTGCTATGGTGGTCAGAACAAAGTGGCACAGGCTGGGCAACCCAAACAACAGGGTTTTATCCCTTCTTGATTCTGAAGGCTTTAAGTCTGGGATGATGTACTAGTGGCGCCATGTTTCCTGAAGCCCACCACAGCAGCTTGGGGTCTTTTCCAGAGTCTTTCTCTGCAGAGCTACTTCCTCATCTTATCCCCCTTTCGGGACAGCCGCCATATTTAATCAAGGCTGGCCCTAAAAGCCTCACTTGAACCTCACGGCTTCTTTGCTGGCTCTGGCTCTGAGTGTACTGAGATGCTGAGGTTCTTTAAGGGTCAAGCTTAACGGTCTTTGAGAGAGATATTTCAAATGACAGCGTTCCCTTATACATGCAATTCCTTTACACATTCCTTTTGCATCTTACTCTCCAACACAACTAGGCTCCCACTATTTCCAGTTGACTTAGATCATTAAATTTATTAAAATAATTTAGTGGCTTGGGGAGATGGCTCAGTGGGTAAAACGGTCACTGTGCAAGGACAAGAACCTGAATTTGAACCCCCCGAAAGTTCAGGTGAAGCCAGACACGGTAATTTGTATCTGAATTCTCAATAATACAGTGACAATGGGAGAGAGAGACTGAAGAATCTCTGGAAACTCATGGCCAGCTGACCTGGTGTAAACAGCAGCAACGACAAAGTACACACACACACACACACACAAACACACACACACAGACATACACTTACACACAGACACACACACAGAGACACAGACATATGCAGACACATACACACACATACATACATATATACACACACATATACACACACACACGAAATAAAATCAAAAGAAATTCTTTGTTTTGGGGTGAATGGATGGAGCTGGAAAGATGGCTCAGCAGTTAAAAGCATCTTACAGTACCCAGATCCTGTGTTCTTCAGTTCCAATGCCTTCTTCTGATGTCTGTGGGCTCATGCACACACATGGTGAATATACATACACCCATGTACACATACACACATATAATAAAATAAATTAATTAAACAAATTTTAGTTTACAAGTATCATTGTTCCAGGGGTGGGGGGTAGCTCCTAGGGGGCATTTGACACATTTCTGGAATGCAGAACTCTAAAATGCATGCTGTCTTCCATCCCTGCACTGTGTGGACCAAGCATTTTCACACTGCTTTCTCTAAAGTGCCATGCTTTACCAGGCCAAGTAGCCTAGCCGTATGTAGATCTCTCTACCTGGAATCCATCCCTGCCTTTTCATTGTTTTATACAGATTTGTGGTCTCCCTTCTCCCATGTGACCCTGGTGCTGACCTCTGAGACTCTGATTGCGACTGTTGACTTGTCTGTGGCCTTTACTAATCACACCATAAAAATAGGAACGGCATCTTAACCTCCTTTGTATTTCACACTAACACAAGGCATGCACCGAACAAGCGATCATTAAATATTTGTTGACTAGACACATCTGTTCCTTTCACAGAGCACAGCCATGACCCTGTTTCCTGTTTCTACATCTGTCTCGTTGCTGGTATCCAAGCTCCTGGAGGATAAAAACCATATTTTTCTTTGTCACCGGGTCCTAGCACCAACCCAGACATAAAAGGACTCGGGAGCACTTGATGGATGGTAAGGGGGATGGGTTTGGACTGCGACCCATCAATCAAGCACTTCCTGGAGCTGTCTAGTGAGCTGGATTGACAGTGTTAAGGGCAGAAGAGAGCATGCTGCATTGGGAGAGGAAGGTGCCATTTAGGCTTGAGTACAAAAGGGAAGAGAGAAGCAGAAATAATTTTTTTCGAAATAAAATTTGTTTCCTTTTTATTGATCTCAAGAAAGAAAGTGACAGAGACAAATTGAATGTATGTGGACTCAAAAAGCCCTCTTCTGAACTTTTTAGGTGATTCACGCAGCTGGGCTTCAAACTTCTCACCCAGTATCGTACATCTCCCTGTGCACCAGGCTTTATGTCTCCTGGGACAGCAGAGCCTGGCTGGGGCAGGAAGAGCATCCACACCTGTATGAGGCTTTCACAGTTTTCACAGAAGGCCCAGAGCTCACATGACCCTTACCACAAATAACCTTGGAAAGGAGTATTAGAACATCAGGAGTCTAAGCCTCAGAGATGAACGAGTTGTCCAAAGCCAGCCAGTTTGTGTTTCCCTGGGTCTTACTTGCTGGTGAGAGAGAGAGGAGAGAGAGAGAAAGAGAGAGAGAGAGAGAGAGAGAGAGAGAG